AGACAAATGATGGTGAGAAGCCTAAGGAACCTGAGAAGGCTCAGACACATGATGGTGAGAAGCCTAAGGAACCTGAGGAGGTTAAGACTGGCCTCCCCATCCTTCCGGCTGCAGTCAAAGCCCGGAAACCAGTTGCACCTTCAGGCCAACCCAAGGGGAAGGCCAAGGCCAAGGGTAAGGCCAAATCCAAAGCTTCGAAGAAAGATGCTGATGAAAGTGGTGAGGGTTCAGAGCCAGAGGAGGAGGAAGAGGAGGAGGAAGAGGAGGAGGAGGTGAAGGATGTGAAGAAGCGCCCAGCCGCGAAGGCCAAGGCGAAGGCTCGGACATCCAAATCAAGTGGTGCTGCGGAAAAGGCTGAACCTGAAAAGGAAGAGAAGGCCAGCAAACCCAAGCAGCAAAGGCGGAGGAAGGCAGCGAGCGACGGCAAAGATGATGAGCCAGCCAAAGCTCGAAAGCTTTCATCAAAGGATGAAGGAGAGGCCACCTCGGCAAAGGCGAAAAGGAAGCCTTCAAAGCGGAAGTCGGATGCGGAAAAGCCCACCCCGGAGCCTGAGGAAGAGGAGAAGACCAAAGAGGGGAGGAGATCGAAGGCTTCCAAGGCTGAAGAGACAGTTGAGGATGAAGAGAAGGCCAAGAGGAAAGCCAAGCGTTCCAGGAAGTATTGCGCCTACAACGCAGCATACAAGAAGAATATTTCCCTCGGGGAAGAGACGGCCCGTGAGCGAGCGCAAGAAGCAACTTGGTTACATTTAGCCTGTGCATACAATACATTCCAACAAATGGAAGAAACATGGCTTATAGGATATGATACGCCCTCCAAAAGTGTCTTGGAGGGCGTATCCTGTTTCTCTCTCGGTTAGTTTCTTGACCATGACCCTCCACACCCAAGGCTTACCGAGCCACTGAGTGAGAGCCTACTGCAATGAAAGATCTTTTTCAAGAAGTGCAGCCTTTATGGGAAAGGCTAACATGACCATGTGAGAACACGTGGTTTTGGGGGTTCGTTGCAGCTGATCAGATTCGCTTGCAACCTATAGCTATAGCCGATGCAATGCATCGCAATCGGAGTTGCCAACCAGCACTATCTCTCACAGAGTGAAACAAAAGCTGTGGATCCTACACCCTGATGCGCCATGTGGTTTACGTGTTGGGCCCCCCAAGCTTCGCGTCGCCAGGCGCCAATCTTCTTGAAGAACATGGCCTGGATGGTTCGGGCGAAGCTGGCAGGTGCCTCTCCCCCCTTGATGTGAGAGTGGCCTTCATGTGTGAGAGCGGCTTGTCATGGGTCTTTTACCAACATGAGCGATTCTCACACTGTGAGATTGTGGCTGTGAGAGATGACCTTAGGGGCCGGGGTTGTAGAGCTCCAGCCATGCCATTGCCCCATCGCAATCGGTCTATACCATTTAACCTTATGCGAATGGGGGCGCCAAAACTCCTAGTATGTCTGGTGTCTCAACTGCACCGAAGGTTTTTTGGAGCTAGTGTGATGCCCAACCAAGAGAGGTCAAGAGGACACTAAAAACAATACCTATAATACCAACTTTCAGGATCCTTACAATTTTGGTCCTCTTGACCTCTCTTGCAATATCTTGTGCGCATCTTGCTGGAATTTCCACCTAGGTCCTACTCCTCCAATGGACTGACTTCAAGGTTGGAGGACCGTTCGTTTTCTTCGAGGTATTCAGTGGAAAGGGCAACGCTACCCGTGCTTGGCAGCATG